GAATAGAACATTATATTAAATATAAATTTGATTTTGCAGGGCTACCTTGTACAACAGTATGCTCAGAATGAAGTTTTTAGGTGTACTGAAACAAAAGCTTAATCGATAGTTAAAATTCAAAACAAGATGCCTAAACTCCAAGTCTTTGTAGTTTTAATAACAACAAATCAAATCTGTTAGGAAACAACCTTCTGGCCTTTATTTTTATGCTACTATGCATTTATAAAATATATTTGTTTTTTAATTTAAGTAATGGAACTGTAGAGCAAAGGAAAATGTGCATACTGTACAGTCCTTAACCAGACCTACTATTTATATATCCCTTTTATTCCATAACACAGTATGACCCAGGATAATTGAAAAAACATAAACATTTTCATTATCTTAAACTTAAGACTTTAAAGCTAAGACAAGAAAATCAAACAAAAATTGATCTAAACAAAAACACTCATCTTTTTGCATCTCTTCACCTTGTTTTATTGGCTAAAGAGCAAGTAAATCTATCATAAATAACCATTTGGTGTGGATTAGCCTTTAGCAGCTGGTCCTATTTTATACTGATAACTTCCCAGCTAAAACCACTGATAGGGCAGATTTTAGTTAGGGTTGCAGGTGTGTGCCTGACAGTGCTAAAGAGCAAAAGGAGGAAGTGAGTAGATTATAAAGGCTTCTCTGCTATTCTTTTAAAGTTCTGCTCTTTTACCTTTCATGTGGGGAACAAGTGAGTTGTGGTTTTCTTGAAAATTAAGGTAAAAGGATGTTTGTTCTGTTCCAAAGGTGGTAGTTCAGCTTTGAATTGTTGAAGGCTAGTTGGTTATGGTAGTTGCTGTAAATCAGAATTTTTTCAGCATCTAATATTTATATGGTTTGTCTCTACAGTTAATGTTTGCTTGATGTGTCCCAGGAGAGATCCTAAAAATAATGAAATGCTATTTTATGGGTATCTGTAAGTGGATAGCTGTTCCTCTGAAAGAAGAGATTGTGATACTTGGAGTAAGAAGGCTGTGCTTTGCTCTGGGTGGCCCTAGTATATCAATCTAAGGGATCCTTCAATATTGTTTATAAAATTTCTATGTGATAACTGACTACTAGCTAAACTGTTAAAAAGGTCTTGAAGAATAAAATGCTCTTAGCATGTAGAGTCTGGTAAACTGTATGCTTCTTTACCGTATGTGGTATGTTAATATTTTTCTGAGCTGCTGTTCCTAACAAGTAGGATGATATATACAGGTTCTATACTGGTAGCTATAATGCTAAACAACAGCAAGGGGAAATAGTTGCCTTTTCAGTAGGCTAGCTAATGTATGCTTTTTGGAGAGCTACCAGTGATAGCAAACCATTTTCTCTTAAAAAAAAGGTTTGATTCTCACAAGATGTGATATTCTTGCCTTGCCTTCTCTAGTGATGTAATTTATGTGAGCCATTTGGCTTTTACTTTTAAACTAAAAACCGTATCTCTATTAAGTTAGCTAAAAACTTCAAATTGGGCCTTGAGGAAGTACTCAAGGCTTCTCTTCTGAGTCTGCTTGACCATTGGGACCTGTATCAGCTACTTAAGGACACAGGCGGCTGGGAAGGCATGCTTTGAAAAATATCAAACTATCTAGCTGGCCAGAATGTGGTAACACTTGCTTCAGCATACAAACTTACCTTAAGCTAGAGTAGAGTGCTATGTGACTAGGGAGAAGAGGAGGAATTGACCAAAACATAAACCCTAGTCTGTCCTTTACAAGATGCAGTTAACATGGAAATGGGCGTACAGTTTTGTTGGCATGGAAGTTTGTTTCCACAGCATAAATTTAAAGTTTTAAAAGCAAGGCATCTAGGCCCAAGGCACTGTGCTATGTACACAAAACTTCAATCTTCTGGTTTCCTTAGGCACACTTAATGCCAAACTTCAGCTTCCTTCAAGATCTACTGTGTCCATTTATAAAACATTCAAGAAATTAGATGTTGTCTTATGTTCTTATTTCAGTATTAAATATTATTTACCTGGTTTTTATGATGGCATTTTTTTAAGTTCAAACTGTAGTCTTTCTCTTCCTGTCCTCAGTTTCTAGCCTCTGAGCTTCAGATGAGGAAGGTAAACAACTTGTGCTTTATATCACATAGTGTGGTTTTTGGCAAAAAATATCAGAGGAAAATGATAGCATGGCCTAATAGATGAAAGCAGGTGATGACAGACTTGGCTGAGTTCTGTCTCAGAACTTTTCCTAGTTCCTCTAATACTGACCAGTTGTAGGAAGGGCAGATCCTCTGAGTGTCTGGATTTTTCCATTCTGAGTTATATGCACTGGTGAAAAGGTTAGCATTTAGCATGACGTGTGATGGTGCAAACTAGGTGCACCCTTCTTATCTAAGGTGTAACGTATATGGAGTTCAACTTCAGCTTTCCTATTTCTATTTTAAGCTCTTGCTGGTGCAAGAAATGCCTTATATCAATAGAAATAGTTTATTTTCAGATGCAGATATATGTTGTTTGCAGGTGGGAGTGTATATTCCTTTAAATATGAAACATATGTTGGCACGGAAAGAATGGATACCACTTAGTTTGTGCATGTTGTCATAAAATCTTTGTATGTCTGCAGTGCTGGAAAGGATGAGGAAATTGCAGCTTCTGCAGCTGTTATTCCCTTCATTTTTGTGCTCTGCTCTTTCTTTTCCTTCCCCTCTTGCTAAAGTACAGAAGACAAATCAATATTTGGAAGTCCCTTGGCCTTCCAGACTCTAAGTTCAACATAAAACTTTCTGTGAAGTGTTCTGGTCCTTTCTTGTTTTGGATACTGCGACCTGCTTATGTGTCTCCATCTGAATAAAAGGCATGCAAAAATTGTGTAGTTGGTAATATAAATTACACTTGCATTCACTTTTCATATTGGGCAGGTGTTGCTATTTTCCAAGGCATGCGAACTTTCAATGTGTGCGGTAAACGCCAGAAAACAAATGGATGTTGCTTGCACAGCAGGAGAGTGATACAGATGCCTTTATGTGGTACTGCATCAACAGAAGGTGTCTGCTGAGCTTGCCCCTGGCTTGTGCCAGGAGGCAGGCAGGGCTCTGCACTGCCTGGAAGAACAATGCCAGTCAGGCTGTTCTCAGTACCCCAGGCGGCTGGGTTTCCTCTGGGTAGCTAGGGACCTCTCCAATGAGTGGGCAAAAAGAGCAGATTAGCCTGATACCAGCCTCTTCCCAGAAGAAAATAAGTTGCTGCAAGACTGACAGCCACAAAAATGCAATACATTTTGTGTTATATTCTTAGTGTCTCAGAATCTGAGACCAAAATGATATATAGCTAACAGTTTAAAACTGCTAACTTTTCTATAAGGATGTAGCTGGGACTTCAGTATTTTAAGGGGAGATATTGTGAGTTATGGTGTTCCTAAGCCCCTTAGAAAGGGAAGGACGGACTGGGAACAGGGGAAGAAGATTAGATTGTGAAGTTACTTCTGAATTAAGAAAGAGACTAAGTTCACCACTGCAGCATGCTCCAGTACCTACAGCTGTACCAACTAGCTAACTTCAGAGTTAGCACACTGTTATGCACAAGGCAGACTCTATCTTCTCTGTCTGTAGAGTACAAGCTGTTTTGCACATACTGTACCCTGGCAGTTGAGTATCTTATTCCAGGAAAACTAGGTGCCCTTTGGGTTTTATGAAATTTGCTTTAGAGCAAGTGCTAGATTTGGTCTCATCTGAAGACACAGGTGACAGGATGATTTTTCTCCAATTTAAAATTAACACAGCTTGTTATTTATATGACTTGAAACTAAAACTTCATGCCTAACCTATTAAAATTGTCTTCTCAAGTGAAATCAGTATTATGAAAAATAACAGTAGTTTTGATACATGCTCTGCTGTGGACTTCAGAACAATCTGATCTTGTACTAAATTTATTACTGATGTAGTTTCTATGTAGGTATGCTAGCTCATAGCCCAAACCTGTTCTTGGAAATAACTTGGGTTTGATACTTTTTCCTTATTTAAGAAAAAAAGAGAACTTTTACCTTGATGGCAGAACTTTTCAATGAAAAGCTAGTCATTCTGTAAATGAATAGACTGAACACATGGGGGAGAAATCAGAACAGCTCTTTAGCTTCAAGAGCTGTTTGAGACAAGGCATGTTTTTGAATTCCGAATTAAAGAATAAAGATTAAAATGTAAGATGTGCGATACGTAATGTCTGATGGATGTCACAGTTGTTGTAAGAGTGGTGCATAGATACTATTTTAGTAGTGTGCTAATAGGGAGAACAAATTAAGACTCTTGACTCAGTGTAACTCAATGATGGTGGGCAAGGACTGGAACTTCTGTAATCATGCTTGGCAATGGTCTTGCCTAGTTTAGTGCTGGTGTTATACACCTCAAAATGTAGCCTCTGCCATTCCTAAGTACCTGCAAGTTCTGCTCCAGCACAGCAACACTGTGACAAATTACTATGGTTGTTCCTTGCAGTATTCTTTAAATGATCAAAAACTGTTTGGTAAAGGGAATTAACCTTTTATAGTCCTCTGGTATATAAAGCTGATGTGCAGTGGCAGAAAATACTGTTGTGAATATACACAAACTTGAAAAGCACTATTTCAAAATACACTTATGCTAAAACATTTTATTTTTGTAGGACTTCCGTGTGGTGACTTGGCTGAGATGCATGAGAGAATAATACCTAGTTATTGCTGTGTCCTAAGTGAGACTTGCAGTGTGTGCTGTAAAGCTGCTTCTTAAGTTAAACCTGTGGAGCGGGGGAGGCAGAGGATGTATTCCTTGACTCTAGTGGTCCAGCACACCCAATTATGCATTGTAAAACAATGTGTTTTGGTTAAACCATAAAGATATGCCTGTGACTGTAGTGTTGACACTGTACAAACAGAAGTGAACATATAATCAGCATCAAATCTAGATACTTTCTTTGAATACTACTTATTTTTCTTTTTTTTTTTTTTCCCCTAGGTTAGATGTATAATGAAGATCTTTGAACAAGTGGATATACAAACTTGCTAAAGATGTCTGTTCCAAGCCAACACCGTTCTGTTATTATTAACCCTCCTCCACCAGAATACATAAATAAAAACAATAGTGGTTGTCAAACAAACCAACTTCAGTACTTACAGAGGGTGGTCATGAAAGCCATGTGGAAACACAACTTTTCCTGGCCGTTTCATGAGCCTGTTGATGCAGCAGCGCTGAATCTTCCTGTAAGAACCATTTTCGAATTGGAACATTAGTATGTAAAGTATTACAGAATTTGTGATTAAATGCTAGTTTAAAAGAGCTTTTTCTGATACAACAGATCACGGAGGACTACTTTTGCATGTGAACTGCTTTCATTAATGCAAGTCTGCAAGAAAACTGTGTGTTCTCTCTGGCTGAATCTTTGTTGGTTTGCTTTATGATCTGGGACTGTAGTAAATCAATATTTCTAAGAGATAATAAGAATGCTTAAACAGGCTTCTTGGAGTTTCTGAATGTTGGTATTCTGTCTTGTCGTCTTTTCTCCTTCCTGTTGGTTTATCCATATTTCTTGACACTGCATATGATGGGTACTTTTTTTGCCTTTGAGATTTTTAATTTTAATAAGAGACAGCCAGCCTCTTTCAATGTCAAATACTTTGATGGAAAAGCAGATCTGATTGACCCTAAGGTAGGCAGATAAATCTGTACCCACTATGACACACAGAAGTAATTATACTTGTAGTACTTCAAATCAACTTTGGCATCTTGCTCTGAAGTTTCTATAGGAATTAGACGTCCCTGCAAAAATAGGGAAGGAAAAAGACATATGGTGTTCTCATAATGCAGTGGTAGAACATTCTTCTAGGAAATATAAGATCTGATGCTTAAATTCTTATTCCGTATTACCCTGTGAGTTTTATTTATGTTACAATTTAATTGCAACAAAGTGAATTAATATAATGTCCTGTCACAAATTGTCTTAATTGAGGTATCTTTAAGCTACAGTTTTGGATCACCCCAACTTTTTCAGTCAAATGAAAACATTGGTTATTCACACAATGATATTTGAAATGACCTGGAAGATACTGCTCTTGGTAGATAAATAGAAAGGTGTTAAATAAAGCTATGGTACATTTCCTTTTATTCTTTTTATTTTTTCCTCCCCCAGCTTAAGCAAATCATATTCAGTTTTCTCAGATTCCCAAGACTTGTTCTACAAAATCATTGGTTCTGTTTAGAACAGACAAAAGCCTTTATCTGCAGCTGTTTTTTGTCACAAACTCATTTGGTCAGTTTGTCCTAAAGCACAGTCAAAGTGACTATCTTTCTGTGTCTTTTCTTACCCTTTTTCCTTCTTGGAAGAACTGTCACTTAAGGTTAATATTAAGGGTCATTCAGTCAGGGTTGTAGCAACATTTACAGCTGGCCTCAGGCCAGTTCTGCCTCTCTGGATTTCTAAGGCAGCCACTTGACTTTAAAAAGTGTGTGTTAGTTCAACGCTGCACAATAACAAGCAAACCTCTAGCTCCATGGCAAGGGCAATGAAGGTATTTTCCTCCTCTGACTCTTTTCTCCAGGTCTTACAAGATGCAGAATGGACAATACTTAATTATCTGCATTATTTTTCTTCATTTTGTTGTAGCAAATTCAACAGTCTGCACTTAAGTGTATTTAGCTTTTTTTTTTTATTTATTTCACTAAACCAGATCTTTAGGACAGCTTTAGAAGACTCTTGAAGTAGTAGTAACTTCACACAACTACAATGTATATGTAAACTTAGTGGGGGAATATTCCTGTCCTGGTTTCTTAAATGCACCAGCAGGGAACTAGCCTTGTGCTCTTAATTACAAGCTTTTAGCCCGGCTACTAAAATAATCATAATAGTTCACATTCCAGCTGTCTTTCAGTCATATTGCCACATCTTCACTAGACTAACCATAAGAAAAAAGCCAGTATAACTCAGGGGTTATTTGATCAGCAACTGTGAAAACTTGGTGGCTTCTTGTCAGTGGCTAAGTCTTTCTCAAAGTCTGTCTTCTGCTTTTTTCCCCCCCCATTCTTAAAACCATTTACCTGAAGTAGCACTCCAGTTTAAAGATAACAAATGAGAAGTACATATACTTTCATAAATACTACTACCAGTGTAGCTGTGGATCCTGTTGAAATAAATATTCTTTGGGGCTTTGAACAGTCGATGTTACATGACAGAGCGAGGAGAAAATATGAGGTGAAGTGTTCCTGAATAGTTGCTTTTGTGGTACCTATGACTATGGGGTAGAGTTTTCTTTTTAAAGAAAATATTCCTTCCAACATAATGTGATTCTCTTGAAATCTAACTTTCTTAACTAAATGTGTAAGATGCTTCATGTCTTGATACTAAAGATAGCTGTTGTGTGACTAACTCTTTCAAAATTACAGGATTATTACAGTATCATAAAGAAACCTATGGACTTGAGCACCATTAAAAAGCGTCTGGAACACAATTACTACACAAAAGCTGCAGAATGCATTGAAGACTTTAAAACTATGTTCTCGAACTGTTACATATATAACAAGGTATGCAAAGCACAACCTCTTACCAGTAACCAATTCTACTGAACAACACAAGTATGTCTAAAACCAAGCAAATTATTATTAGAGCCTGCACGAAATCAGTCTAAGGTCTTTGTAATTTCTTTGAAATGACTTTCTTTGAAAGGTGGGGTGGCTCTGTTGCTAGGACTGACTGGGGCACATAAGTGAGGTCTAGCCTGCTGTTACAACAACTGAGTGCGTAGTCTTTCCTGCACAAGGATTCTTCCAAAATCTCTGGGTGTTAGTTGCAGAGTTCATGAACAGCAAGCACTGTGTAACTGCTATATAGGTTTAAGGCTAGCAACCCTGAAGCATGCTCCATTCCTCCAACAAGTTTAAACTAACCTAACCTGAAGTATGAGCATCTCCCTGAACTTGGATGCTTGTTGGCTGCTTAGTATCTTTAAGGTTCAACAGCTTTCTTCCAAACATATGAATTTATTCAAATACGGAATGAATAATGGAGTTACAGATCTGTCCCCTTCTCTGTTTGCTATGTGAAGCATGTGGCTATAAAGCAAGTAGGACTGTGCAATGGGATAGTGGGAGAAAGAGTATATCTAATAAAGAAACTTGTACTAAAGGGAGTTGTGGGGCAAGGATGGCAAGGACTTAGACCTCTCTGGTACTGGTAGCTTGTTTCAATCTGTTGAAGCAAGATCCTATAGATTGTTTATTTTACAAGGTAGCCATCCATTATTGCAGCTTCTCCTTTACTCTGAATGTTATTGACTGTATTTTGCAGCCAAGTGATGACATTGTGTTTATGGCCCAAGAACTAGAAAAAGTGTTTATGCAGAAAATATCCCAAATGCCACCAGAAGAAACAGTAGTGATTCCCAACAAAGGAAAGAGAAAACTAAAGAAGCCAGAGGGTAAGTCCCATATTATATGTTGAATTGTTAACATATAAACCAAGCAAAAGCTGGAAATGGGGAATCCTCTGTAGCTTGTTACAATTTAACCCTGTAGCAGTTGGGTGTTCTCCACTCCTCCCAGAACACATCAAGCAAGCAACAGCATTGCTAATGCTTTAGCAGATTCAGTGCAGCCATATTTTTTACAGTACTAGCTAGATTTTCTATTTTCCACTAATAAAGTGTGTTTAAAGGGTAAAAATCAGAATTAACAGCTTTACTGGTAGTGTAACAACACATATTCACAGGCAAACTTCTGGTGAAATGCAGTGCTCTTGCTCACAAAAAGGATGATTCAATAAAGACATCTCAAACTTATGAGGGAGTTACAGAGTAAGGGCTTGAAGCAACATTGGGAAGCCTGATTGCAAGGGCCAGGTGATTAGCTGCAACATATTACTCATCACTGACTTTCTATGCCTTTTTAGTTGCTCTTATAAACTGTTTCACTCTTACAAAGTACTCATTCCTACATCTAAGCTCTCAACGTGGCCAAAGAATAAATATTTATATTGACAGAAGTAAGACTATGCAGTGCATGGAATCAGATATGCATCTCAATGGGTTAATTTGGAGACCTCCAAGGCAGTATTCCAAACTGGCCTAGAGGCACTGCTGTCAGTTGTTGGGGAAATGTTGCTATGTCTTGAAAGAGCTGCAACACTTCTTCACCCTAATCTCTCTTAATTATTTGCCTTCCAACAGCCACAGAGAAGTTATCTTAGCTAGCTCAGTTCTTACTGGACCACTTAATAGATGATCTTATTTAGCTATGCAACTATACAGCTCCTCAGGGTTTCCTGATTACTTTGCTGCCTCTTACTGCTGTTTGTGGTGTGGTGGTCCTTGTTGCTTGTAGTATCTGAAACAAATGTTTCTTCAAAATAGTATTACAGTTTGATAGATCTCTGTAGCTTTCTATTCAAGGTATATTTGAGGAGCAACACTACCTTTCAGTGATCTGATTAGATGGATATGGAAAAGCAGTGGATTTCTCAGTGCTTTCACAATAATTTGGAGGGGATTAGGAGAAAGAAGAGGACACTCAGCTGGCTTCCTGTCTTGCTACTGTATTTTAATAAAATCTCAAGCATTCATTGCCTTGACAGAATATGTTGGTTGAACAGGTACAGGTGACTCCCAGGAAAGACTTCTGTTCAGAAATGTATTGGAAGTTGAGTTAGCTTTTTAGTTCTCAAATGATTGCAACAGCTTGTTGCACTGCTTTTGTAACACAATCTTGCTGGTATTAATGCTGTTTAAGTCCCTTCATTCCTTTAGCATGCACAAATGTAGTTTGTACAAATCTTGAAATGTTGTAAGCACTTTTTGAATTGTAGATCATGCTGTTATGATCAAGGAAATATTTCTGTCCCATCTTTTGCATACTTTGGTTTTAGAGACAGATCTATACACATAGCTTATTTCCCTGTTTTAAAAAAAAAAAAAAAAAAAAAAAAGGCAATTGACTTCCATTTCAGAGAATGTCATGGTGTTGTGTAGCATTGTATTATATGAAGTAATAGGAGTGAACTTCTGTGAGAACTGAACAAAATCGGTGCTGGAAAAGACATTAGTCATCTATCTAGTTAAATCAAATACAGAAAAACGTTGGTCTAAACTGTCATCAAATCAGTGATGGAGACTTGTAATATTGATAAGCAATAAGTATGCTTAGGAAACTTGAACCTTCATGATGCAGGTTGACGCACTCTTTGCTGTTTGGTCTTTATGTGTATGTAGAAAACAGCTTGATTGTCATCTTAGCAAGAATGCTTTTACAATGTACAAGTTTTAGTGTGATGTCTCTTTAAACTTTCTGCTGAGGTTCCCTGAAACCAAATACCTGTAACTTGGTACAGTATTCTGAGGTACTAAAGGTGCTGATACCAATGTTGCTATATGTGACAATGCTCTTGTTTGTATTTATTCTTATAGTTTGGGTATGTAAGAGTGGTCCTGTTTATTTCTTTCATGATCATATTAAACAGTTGTCAACTGCAGCATTTAAGACCTAACTTTAAATTGTTCTGTTTCAAAATAACCAGAACCAGAGCAGCCCAAGCCTGGGACTTCGAATGAACAAAGCAAAATGCAGAAACATGTTGCAAGCAGTGAGCAGCCTCCTGTGATGACTCAAGAGCTACAGCAGGTTACACTAGCTCCTTTGTCTGCAGCTCAGCTGACTGCTTTAATGCCAGCTGCAGTCCCTATAACAAAAGTAAGTTTCCTCCAATAACTTTCAGAAAGAAAGGTATTGAGATTGCTCCTTCAGGCACTAACAGCAAAACCATAGGATGCATGGTTATTGCAATATATTTTCAAAACTTCTGTTGTGATAGAAGATAGTAAGAGACCTCTATTAAATATTCTAGGTCTCTACTAAATAACTGAGCCAGTACTAATTCTAGAAACTATGCAGAAATTGGCATGAGTGCTTTGTACATATTTTCTTATAAATGTGATTTTTAAAATGTTGTTCTCAAAGAAATAAAGTGAACTTTAAGGTGGTCATTCTTGAAGTGTACTATACCTCTGCAGGCTTTACCTTGATACAGAAACTAATCTTTCCTTGAGGTGTAGATAATGGTTTTTGCATTAAAATAAAGCTCTTTCTAAGTTCTATTTAATAATTTCTCACATTTTCAATGTAAATCAAATGCTTGATTCCCCAAAAATAACATGTTTGCTTAAACACTGTGTAACTAGCCTGGAAGATGTTTGTAGCTCACAAAAGCAAATCATTGTTAACTGCAATCTGAATTGTATGTAAACATCTGACATTTTAATCAGATGAACAGTCTTGTATTGACTTAGTTTTGGTCTTGCTCTCCCAATGAGGAATAGGCACATGTGCCAGGTTCTCCTATAGTGTATATTTACACTTTACTGAAGAGTCTGAACACTGATGACAAAGTACACATTGTATAGCTTCCAAACTAAATACCACCTAGGTTAAAGGAAAATATACATAAACCTTGTACATAAAGCCTTCAACCAAGCTTAAAATGAATTGCAGTAATTTTTCTCCTCCCCATGGCAGTCATCTTGTGGTAACTTCATAACCCTCCAGCTTCTTGGAGTCTTCTCAAATGGCTAAAAACTGACCACAACCTGACCTGCAGTACACCCTGTTCTTTCATCTACATCTAAGATTGAGCTTGGCATGCTGATCTTGTAATGCCTTGTAGGTTTTCCATCGAAACTTGTGGAAGTGCCACATTCTGTTCTGATTTCAATAGCTGTAAAAGTTCTGACACTTTTTAGATTTTTTTTTGTGTGTGTGTGTAATCTGAAAGCTGACCATTCTCTCACTGTTTTGGACACCTGTATTTTAGACTGTAAAATTTTCTTTTCTAGGCAAAAAATGGTGTGAAAAGGAAGGCTGACACTACAACTCCTACTACGTCAATATTCACAGCAAGTGGTGAATCTTCTGCAACATGTAATGAAAGAAAAGCTGCTAAAGCACACAGAGGTGAAAATGAATGTGTGATACCAAATAAGCTTCTGAAGAGATACTTGCCAGATTCTCAACCATCACCTAAAGTTCTTAAAAAGATTCATTTGTCAGAACAACTAAAACATTGTAATGAAATACTTAAAGAAATGTTTTCAAAGAAACATGAAGCATATGCATGGCCTTTCTTAAAACCGATAGATGTTGCATCCTTCTCACTTGGTGAGAACCAAGGGATCACCAAATGTCCAACAGACCTGGGAACCATTAAAGTAAGTATGTTTGAGGGAACTGAATTATTTGTGTGCTTGCTTGGATAACTTGTGTAATGACTGTATTTTAATAGTGTTAGCTGAAAAAGTGTCATGAAAGCTGCTTTTCCTTTGAGAGAAATAATGGGCATAGAAACCATATACAATTACCTCTCTCAACAAACTAAGCCAAGCTTGCTGAAAAAACCCTTCTAAGTCCATTGTAATTATGTGCATAGTGGGTAATCTACTTATCTGTTGAACAAGCTAATATTAGTGAGGGAACTATCATATCCATGAAGCACTTCCAAGCAGGCTGCATGTTAACTATCTTTCCATCTGTAAACACAATGCTGTTACTAATGTTCTATGAAAGGATGCACAATTCTGTAATGTCAACTTCTTCCCTCTGAATCTCATTATCCTTGGTGAAGTGCCTTGGAGCCTCAACACTGGATATTTACCTGACACCTCTCACATTTTTTGTGAAAAGGAACCCTTCTAGATGGAGATATGTGGCCAGTGCTTTTTGAACACTGGATGTGTTTGGGATTGAAATATTTAGTCAAGTTAAGATCCATCTTGGGGGGGAGTGGGGTGGGGTGGGTGTTGAATTTCAATAGTCTATTGAATTATCTTGAAAACTGGCTTGCACAATATAAAGGTTATTTCCCAATTTCTAGCCCATTACTTTGACTCAAACAACTATGGAATAGGCTTTGTATAAATACTGTGGTTAGAATCAAAAAACAAGTGCTGAGTACATGACCAAATAAAATCACCCAAACATTGTTGTCTTGACCTAATGTTGAAATTAGTACTACAAAGTCCTTACAGCAATTACAGTTAGCAAAACTGTTTATAGGAAATTCTCTTCTGAATTGTCCATTTCACAAAGTAAATGAAAAGCAGGTCTTTCCATAATGGTTCTTACAATATTTACTGTCTTGATACAAGCTGAACCAGACACTGGTTGTCAAAATTCTTGTTCCTCCTCTTTTTCTGATGATGCTCTCTACTTCTAAGCCTTAAATGTGCATTAATTTTCTTTTCCTCTAGAAGAAAATGGATAACTCTGAATATAGTGATATACAAGAATTTGCTACAGATGTTAGATTAATGTTCATGAGCTGCTACAAACATAATTCTCCAGACCATGCAATAGTTGCTATGGCAAGAAAATTTCAGGTGAGTTATCACTTAAGTCAGACTTTGAAAAAGAGTAGAACTATAAGATTCCTCTGTGGTCATCTCATGCCCTTATGTAGCATTTACTAATGTAGTTCTGGAAAACAAGCAGCAACTTCATAATGCATTTAGAAATCTGAAAAATGTGCTCAACCTCTCTGCTGTTCCCAAACCTAACTCTCTAGGATGTTTTTGAGAAGCACTTTGCCAAAATTCCTGATGAACCTGTTGCAAGTGTTCCTCTTCCACAACCTACAAGAGAAATGACAGAAACTTATTCCAGTGAGAGCAGTAAGGATGATTCTTCAGAAGGAAAATCATCTGAGGACTCTGAGCAGGAGAGAACAGTGCACCTTGTAAAGCTTCAGGAGCAAGTAAGCATTAGCACTCAATGTGTATGACAGATAATCTGTCTGATAGTGCTACTTGCAATTGTTCTAGGACTTAGCACTGAGAATCAGTATTTAAAATATTCAGTAGTACTTTGTTTTTCCTAATACAGAGCTTTATTTTTGTTTGGAAGCACCTCCAAATGTTAAGTGAATAGTGCCTCAGCCATACAAATTGATCTTAGCAAATCATTGCTTTAGTATTCTTGCCTACCATTTCTCCAGATGACTCTCAAAAAGTAAAACTGTGTTGCTGTGGTATGATGAGAGCATCCAGATACCCACTCATAGCTTAGTGGCATATTCTTCTAACAATGGTGTTTCCTTCGTATGGTTGAAGAATTCTGGTCTGACACTCAGTCTCTTTTGAACCACGTAAAAGCAAGTTGTTAAATTCTACTTCAGGAAGTTCAGTATAAAGTAAAATGGAAGGAATATCGTGCTCACACCAACGTGAAGCATGGCTTTGTTTTGCTGGCTAAGAGTGGAATGGGTCTTGCTTTTGCTTGAACATAATGCTCCTGCTGCTGTATTTATAAACTATGGTGAAAATTAGCAAATTTTTTTCTCCTTTTCAAAGGAGGGACAGTTTAGTTTCCAATATTTGTCAGAGTAGAAAATACATCATCAATTTATGCATATAGGCACAAGTGCAACCAAAAGTCTACAAGACAGCCAGCCTTCACAACAGTGAACTATTTCAGTGCGTCTAATTTCTAACATCAACCGTCCATCTTCCTTGTAATTTCTGTGAGATTCAAACAAATTTGTGTTAGGCCTTTCACTGAAACTGTTAGTATGTTCCAACTAGCCATTTTGTATCACAAAATGTCTGGGGTTTATGGGTCAAAGATGCACAAGCACAGTCTCACTAGCCTAATTCAGTAATGCTGTAGAGGCCTAAACTAATAAGGCACTTAAATACTTTCCAAATGCTTGAAACTAAAGAGAGGCTGCTGGATACTCCTACAGTGATTTTTTTTCTTTCTTTATTTTTCACAGAATGCTAGAAGACATATGCTGTTAGAAATGTCTGCATAAAATAAGTAGCTTTACATCTTCTATATCCATAGCCTGTGACTAATCTATAATATAGTAAGATGCTTAGAAAATAAACATAATTTGGAAAGCAAACTTCCTATTAATATCCACCCAGCTACCACAAATCTCCTGTGATAGTTAGGACAAATTTATTGTTCCTCCTACGTTGCCTAAGATTATCAGCATTTTTTTGTTTGCTTTTTGATAGATTAAAGCTGTTCACCAGCAGTTGCGGTCTTTGACCAAAGCATACTTCCCTAGACTGAAAAATAAAGAGAAGGCTAAAAGGGAGAAAAGTAAGAACAAGGAAGAAGTTAAAATCAAGAGCCTGATTCAAAAGAAGAAAAAACTAAAACATAAGAAGCAATCTAAGAAAAAGATGTCTTTAAACATGTGAGTGTGGGGGACTTATGTGGGTGTCAAATTATTTTAAACTGCTGTTACTGACATATACTTTTTTTTCTTGCAGTCAATCAAAGACAACCATGCAGCAGGTCTTGTTGGCACAGAAGTCAGAAGATGAAGATGGTGCCAAGCCTATGAATTATGATGAAAAACGACAGTTGAGTTTGGACATAAATAAACTTCCTGGAGATAAGCTTGGAAAAGTAGTCCATATAATACAGGAAAGAGAACATTCACTGAGGAACTCTAACCCTGATGAGATAGAAATAGACTTTGAAACTTTAAAGGATTCAACACTCAGAGAGCTAGAGAAATATGTGGCAACCTGTTTGAGGAAGAGACCAAGAAAGCAGCAGGGTATGTAGCATTAAAAAAACAAACAAAAAAACCCCATCAAACAAAACCCCAAACCCACCCCACAACCTAGACTTGTTTTCTGTTTTGCTGCAATGTTAACTTCTGTTTCACATGCAGCTAAAAAACCAACCAAGTTAAAAGAACAACTTAATTCTGAGAGGAAACAAGAGCTGGAGAAGAGACTACTGGATGTCAGTGGTCAACTAAACCCAAAGGAGGAGAACTTGAAGTGTAAACTGGCCTTTATTCATTTGCAACAGAAATAGCTTAAAGTGGTATTCTCCCCTTGGCCTTTTGTACTGTTATTCAGCTGGGGACTTTCTCCTCAGAACAGCTGAGGTCTCTAGCAATGGGAAGCTTCTCTTAAGATTCTTCTTATATTGAGTGAGCTGGGGACACAGCAGCAAATGTGGTCAGTTACTTCTGTCTAAAACATCTTCCTTATTCTTGCATCTAATCCTTTATTACAGGTAAAGAGGATAACAGCTTCAGAGCTTAAGGGATGCTGAACACCTTCTCCCTCATGCTGACATGTGAAAGCAGAGTGGGGAAGGAGTGTCACACAGTCTATGTATTTGCAATTCACTTTCTGTGGCCTAGAGATTCAAGAATAACAAACCCTAGTTATATTTGTTAGATTGATGGCATTAGTGAGGCTGCATGCTAGCAAAACCTCTGCATCAGTGCCAGGTGTGCTGTGTTGCCTTCATTTTAAGGAAATGTCCTAGGAGAATCAATTCCGTTTTTCAGGCAATAATGTGTTTTGGTATCAAAGCTATAAATTCAGTACATACTTGAGCATATCTACGCTTACTGATAGTTCATGTCGGATCAATGCAGCTGACACTACTGTTCCTCGCTAAACTAGTGAGTGCTATTATTGCCCTCTATTAGATATCTATTAAGCTCCTATGTAAAACCAGTTAGTTGAAATGACAGAAACAGCTCTGCAAGACACAGGCTTGCATCCAGCATTAGCTCAGTCAACAGTCTTCCTGTCTGGTATATATGATGGGTTGAAAACTTCCTAGAAAGAAAAGCTTAGAGGCAGCTGAAATCAATAGCAAAGGATATGCTGGGGGGAGAGGGAGGAGGCAGACCATGGTATCTTTACAACTGTCATCTGGCTTGTAAACGAGGAGGAGCTTAAGCTGGTACTTAACAAAAACTTGTGTCCAGGGAAACAGGTATCCATTTTTAAAGCTTCCATCAGAGCAACACACCTTGAAAAAGCTTTTTCACTGCAAAATCACTATAAACTGAGTTAAATCAACCCTGCAGATGCAAAATAGTCAGATGGTGGGGAGGTGGCAAAAGATTACAATTTTGGAGTACATATGGCTTGAGAAAGAAGAGAGTTGGCTACAGATAGACTTCAGCATGCAAGTCTGGCAGCAGCAGCAAGCACAGAAACAGGCTGTTAGCAGCAGGAAAATTTACAGGGGAAAATTTCTTGAATTTTGTCTTAAGACAGCACAGATTTAACCTACTTTAGGATTGTAAATTGTGTGATTACAGCTCTTCCTTGGCTATTTCATTCATTCAGCTAACTTGCTGCTGGTAAATCTCCCTCTGTAAAGGTCTCAAATCCACTGCTCAGTGTGTGCAAGGAAATGGCAGAAGAGAAACTGTTAAATGGGAGAATAGATCCAACAAGGTTGATCCTAGTCTTGTATATGTAAATTGCTCTACTGCAGGTTGTTCTAAATTCTTTCTTTTTCTTCTGCAGTTGAAAACAATGCTGAGTCCAGTATTGGACCAAGCAGACTGAGTGACAGCAGCAGCTCCTCGGACTCTGGCAGCAGCACTAGCAGTGGTTCTAGCTCTTCAGATAGCAGCGACTCTGAATCAGGTCAGACAGCTTCCTCTTGTATCTGTGCAGGCAAAACATCTACCGCCTTAGTTAGCATCTACTGTTCTACATGCTTACCAAGGATTTCAGTTATTCTTGTAGGTTTGCTCCATGTTTGAAGGCTCAATTCAAGTGCTATTACATGAATGTCTTCACACTGAGTTTGTAGGTTAAAAAAACCCAACCCAAACCAACAAGAAATCAAACACCACAATGACAACAAACCACTACAGCGTCCACCCAGTGAATGGATGTTCAATGAAAGACTTCAGAGACCGAAATCAGATAGCAAGAGGTCTGTGTATCTAACAGAGACTTGACAATTGGACTTACTCTTGTGGTTTTGATTCCTTTTTGAAAGTGTGATTTACCTTATTTTCATCTTCTGGGCTGCAGCATGAGGGTGCCTTACCTTGTGGGTAAGGCTTAGTCCCTAAGGGACAGAAGTGCCAAGAGCACTGACTGTAGAGCCAAAATCTACCCTGGTGCCTAAGCTATCCCAAGTTTGTTCAAGGGACGTTGTAGTGCTGCAGCATCAGGGTATCGGAATGCTGTTTCTCTCTGTACACAGAATTCTCTTCAGTTTTCTAGGATAGATCTGCCAAACTAGAGGTCTACAATGTAGATATTGGTATGAGGTAACAGTGTAAGGTGAGGAGGTTGCTCGGTCATTTGCAGTGTGGGGAAGCAAGCACAGTGAAATCGTTGATGGCAGCAGAGACCCTGATCCTGTAGGAGTCTTTAGGATTTTTCTTTTTTAGAGAAGTTCTCTGAACACATCAAGCTGAAGTCAAAGTATTCAAGATAAGAATATTCCTTTCACTGAGGTTTGGCTCTCTAGGTACAACTGCAACTCACATCTTGTATGTGTGAATAATGAAACATATGCAAATGACTGATCTATTTCCCCACCCACCTCACTGTCTTTACAGTTACAGAAACCTGCTCAGAACAATCTGGAGCCAGGCAGAACTATCCAAAGTCTATGGAAAAGCCTAAGGTAAACTAACTGGAATGGATATAACATTTTTGCCCCAAAGTTGTTACATACAGTAGTACTGGAAATGACACAACTTTATCAGGAAATAATGAATATGGCTTGAATGCTACTTGTTCTGTAGGACTGACTTAATGGAGATTTAAAATCTGCTGTGTGTAAAAGTAGCTTATGTATCTGTATAGAAACTGATGTACTGGAAGAGACTTACTTTTTACCATCATTGCTGGGTGAAGGTGAAGGAGAAAGGAAAAGATAAGGGAGGGAGAATGATCCACACACACCATACTTTCACCCCACCCACCCCCAAAAAAGAAAAATCCTCTCCAACTTGATCTTTGAGTATAAATTGACCTAATAAACAGTGCAAGCCCCACTTAAATATTTTTTTCTTTATCTATGAATAACCTCACTTCTACATCTGAAAGTATATAAATTGTACGACACACTAGTTGTTTTCAGGATGCTTTATATTACTTATTATTGTGGTACTATTATCAGAAACAGCAGTTTTATCTATAAATATTTTTTAATATCTCTAATATTGAACTGGTCTAGTCCTGTATATACAGTGGGTGTTAAGTCTTGTCGGAGTGAGCTGCCTTTCACAATTTCCCTTGAAGCTACCAGAGATAGAGACCTTGGATTTCAAAGCAAGATCACAGTAAAGCCTTCATTCTTCTTATAGGCTTGCTTTCACTTGAAGTGCTTAGCTGGATACAGGAAACTAGGCTGCAGATTTATTATTCAGCTGTTCCTTCTGCACCTTCATAAGCAAAGACTGAGGGGAGGAATTATGCAACACACTTTTTTGTTTAAATATGCAGCCTCTACAGTGACAGAATGACAGCAATAAACTTGAGAAAACGGGATACAGGAATTAAGCTTCAGTTTGGTCAGTCATAACAGCCTCTAACTGACTTTCTGAGTAGCAGCAAACATCATACTTCAAATTCTCGCATTACCCTTTGTTCTCATGAATTTTCTGTATCTGTCAGATGAAGGCAGTGTCACTTTACCTCATGGGTTTTTGTCATCTAAACTCTTAGAAAATGCTAGATGAGTATCACAATACAAGGACTGCTGAATCCTTTAAACAGTGGAAATGGGGGTGGTTTTGAGAAAAGGGGATCCAATAGCTATGAAAATCGAGATTTGGCTGTATTAACTACTGCAATCTCTTTGTAGAGAATACCACGGTGTTTACAGAGGACATCCTGCAATGCTGTTCTGCAAGAACAGCCCTCATCTCTTATTAGTAGCTTGCAAAATCATGGATCATCTGAACTCCAACAGTCACCTCCCAATGTACTGCAGAGGCTTCAGCCTTTACAGAATAGATCACTTAAACCATCAGAACAAAATGCCCAGTATCTCTCAGGTAACATCTTTATGGCAAGAATTGTGGATAGATTTGACTGCTGAGGAAAGAAGGGATAGCAGGACTAATGTTTTTATTGCCCAATAAGCTTATCTTGGGCTTTCAGAGATTATCAAGTGGATAATAGAAAAAGATCTTGCAGGATACGGATTATAAAGAGCATGGTGTAAGTAAAATTGTGGCAGGATGGAGGATTGGCTAGGGTTTCAGATTCCTGGGGCACTTGTGGTGGGGCAGAACAGTATTAAAACAGGAGGAAGTATTCATACCTCCCTCTGAGATGGAAAATGGTATCTTAATGAACCTAGGGTTGCAGGAAGTGCTGAACACCTTAAAACAGGAATTAGATGGTGAAAACCATCACCACCACTTTGTTTATGTCTGAAATCCCTGTTAGCTGAATTTAAGGCTTGGTGCCATAGGCCATCTGAATTGATTGTTGTTGTCTCAACATATCAAATATTAAGTTGCTTAGAAACTTGATTCAAGGAGCTTTTCTTTTCCCTCCCTCACTTCAAAAGGTGTACTAATTTCAGACGTAAGATTTTGGTAAAAGACAGCTTGAGCTGGTAGCTGATTAACTGATAAATCGATTAAAAACTAATCAAAAATAACTGCCTCATTGTGCAGCTAGGATACATATCTTCATATCCAGTTAATTCAGAGATCTAAACAGTGACCTGATTCTGAGATGTAGGTCTGCTCTTTGCAAGTTTGGGGAAATCATATACTCCTTCTTTCTCAGGTATAATATCAGCTGTATCTGCTCTGCATGATGCTCCAGACCAGCAAACAATTCAGTGTATTCCAAGGACAAATAAGTCTTCTGTCACCCAGTGCACACATGCTCTTCTAGAGGTGAATACATGCTTCTCTTCAGTGCATTCACTTCAAATAACTTCTTTAATGCATGTTCTTGTTTCTTTAAATAAGATCTAATATATTCCAGGCTTGAACTTGATGCAATGAAGACCACTTAAGGTTTGCAACAAAACCTCTATCTAAAACCCCACTAAAAAAGTGATTCTTATCCTTTAACAGGGCATCAATTCATTGCCTGTCAGCTGCAACACAAAAGGAATGATTTTTGGCTGATCAATAAATCAAGTTTACAATGTACTATAATGGTTATTTTATTTATTTTTAAGTTCTATAGCTTAAACTTAAGCAACTCTTGCACACTTATAGGTTAAATCCCACCCTGTAAACACACAGTTTCAGTGTTCATGTTTTCTAGAAATACCAGTCTCGTAAGCTCAGTAATACTCTGAAAATTCTAGGAGCTATCCTGGAAAAGCATGTTGCTCTTTCTTCCTGTTCCTAAAGCCACGGAAACTGAGGCTTTCAGGATCATAGATGAGGTTGTGGAATGTTTAGATACTGTTGATTTCTGTCTCAATACATTCTTGGAGAGTATTCTGGTTAGAAGAGCATCTATGTTACAAAGGAAGTTATTGATGTTACTGCAGCAGCATGATCGCTTCCATCTTAAGATGTTTATCTTTCCCAACATGGTTTCAAACAAAGCTGCTTTAGCCAGGTTTTAAGTTTTTATTTTCTAAAATGGAGAAAAACTACCTCTTGAGTCTATGAGCACAAGAATGTGGCCTGCAAGAAAGGAAGAAAAGCATCTCTCCCTTTCCCATTTGCATCCACTATCCAAGGCAGCAAGCAGTATATATTACGACTCAGGTTTGTGCAACACCTTATCCAGTTCAAGGGGATTACTACACGGTCTTTCACAGAGAAAACCTACCACTGAACTGAAGCAATACAGCTGACCTTCACCCTGATCCATAAGCTAGAGAGGAGCAACTGGCTTTACAACAGTAAAAGCCGGCTTCTATTACATTGTACCACGTTACAGGCTAAAAAGCCTATTCTACCACCTCCATTGCTTGGGATCCTCAAGCAGTTAATGTTCTAAATCCAAAGTGTTAATGCAAGAACTTGCTTTAACTACCATAATATGAATGAAATTTTATTCTTCCCTGGTGTTCACAGAAGCTAGATCTGCAACAATTTGCTGCTGTAAGCTCTTAAATCTGTAATCTAGCTGCTATATAATGAGAATCCACATACTTAAGACTTCAAAATATGTTCTGAAGTGCTAACTTTATCTTCTAGGTATCTGACACAACTTCGCAGGTTGACGGTGTTGATTGGAGTAAGCAAGCTGAGAAAACAATACACCTAGACAAATCAAATAAACCTCAAAACAAGGCCACTGAGAGAACTGCTGATTCAATATCCATAAATCAAGAACAAAGTATGTATTGTCATAATAAAAACTGTAACTGACATCAAGGCTGAAAAGTTAAAAATGTATATGAAGCTGGTTTAAAGAAATAAAATGCTGAATACTTGTACATTAATCAGTTTGTAGAATAATGGAGGGGATGCAATTTTTCCTTGCTCGTTCTTTTTCTTTTCAATTTCTTGCTTTTTAAGAAAAAAAAATTAAATGGTTGGTTCTTGTTCTGTGTTAAAATGTATAAAGCAAATGACTTTTTGATTTAAGAACTTAGCTTTCTGTATTTAGTACTAGGCATATGTAACCCAGTCTTCCAGGAAGTCTGAGAGAACCAATATTCCAATCTGTTGAACTTCACAGGCCTTTAAGCTGTCTTCTGCTGAAGGTGCATGGAGCTCTCTTCTCAGGGCACTTTGCATGTATTTTGACTTACCATCTCCAGCCCTTGGTGATAAGGATCTGACAGTAAATCAATGTCAAATAGGCTTTCACCATGGAACAAACTTGCAATTATTTCAAGAACACAGGTTCCCTGAAAGCTGCATTTTGCATAGAGACACATCAGACTTCATACATATTTCAAACTAAAGAACTCTGAGCTGGACATTGACCATCCAAGCTGAGAGTCTAGTGTTGCCAGACATGATTGGTTTGGTTCCTCCTTTACTCTTTCCTCTCTAGACTACCTGTATAGGCTTGAGTGGGGAAGGGAACAAGCTTCTGAAAACTTGATGAAATTAAAAGACACAGCCTTTGTGCTGATTAACTCTTTAATTCTTGCCAAAAGCAACGCTGGGTACTTGAGTTGCTTTAATACAACTCTAAAAATGGACATTTAATTCTTCAAGATGTTCTATTCAGCATTTTCATGGTCTTAACATACCTTTTTATAAACATACTGACCCACTTTATTTAGACTTGTAGCAGCTGAAGCTGGTACAAGTTTCCACGGATTCAGTTCACAATCTTCACTTACAAAGTTTTGATGCTGCCTAAAACTTCAATTCCTGTCCTATATACTGCATGACTGTAACTATCCAGATCCTGCTGTTATCTTAATATGTTAAAGGGCTTAGTTAGAGATGTGTTATGGAGCTTAAATTTGAGGGAAAAAAAGCATAGCCAAAACTACTGAGAAAGCTTGTTCCCTTCCATACTTACTGTTTACTGCTTAGTCTTTATTCTTAACTTTCCCATTCCTAATATTCATTTGATTTGTACTGTTTCTTTCTCCCTTTTTTCAAGGGACAGTTGTGTAGATAGTTGTAGAAGAGCTCCTGTGTTTAATATGAGAACAATCCAGTAATGAAACTGCCTTTGAGTACACCTGAACTTCAGCATTATATTGCATAGCAGAGCTTTTAACACTGTTATGTGAGTTTAGTTATCTGGTGGTGTTTCACTGTTCTGGCAATGATACATGCCCCAGCTGTGCACTATGTTATTTTGGCTGTTCCACTATTAACTCCTGTAGAAAACTGGAGTGGAGGGGAGAATACAGGATTGTGGCTTTTTTTTTTTTTTTTTAAACAACAATAAAAACTTTGCTAAACTGGAACTGTTGTAGGGCCTGTAACCTACTGATAGTTCAGAGGGTGCTCAGTAATTGATGTTTCTACTTAGATCAAACCAGGAAAACTAATTTTAGAACTAGATGCTTAGAGCAACTTGTTGAATTTTGTAGAGAATCCCACTGTCTCAGGCATTTCTGTGAGGTTACCTGCATCTCTGAAACAAGAGTTCTTGATTTTAGACTTGTGACACCTCTGGTATGGGTGCAGGCTGGGTGTATTGCTGAATTCAGTGGTGGCTTGTTAAGAAGCTTGATTTATGAAATTGGTGACCACAAGTTTCTCTTCAGATTAAAAATCAGTGTGTCTCAACAAGAGGTTCTATGAAGGCTGGCATTGCTGTAAGTAGCTCTAAAAGGCATGCTTTGATTCCCATGCCTGCCAATACTTTTGACACAACCTCATATTCCTGTATTATACAGAGAGTTTTAAGACAGACATGACTATAAACTTAAATTCATCTTAAGTTTGCCTCAGGTAGCTCTTCACAGGTATAATGGCTTGATCAAATTGATCTGAACACTGGGATTAGACATTTTTGGGTATGCGAAGCTCTTGCTTTATTTTGGTGTATTCAGTGCTCAAGACTGTCAAGCTTCTTATATGAAGATTCAAGATGCCTGTACAAATATAACTTATGAAAGAAAGAGGCCTATTTTATTAAGAGGAACACTTAACACACTAGTCCTCTACTCTGGAGGAGAACAAGTCTCTGATAACAGAATTTGATCTAGGTAGACTTTGCTTAATGGGACTTGGAATCCATGAGAATGGACATATCAGGATTTGGAACTCTCTTCAATAGTACTGGAGGCTTCAGAGGTTATTCCACTGTACCATAAAAAGTCTCCTGCTCACTTGCAATTATACCATCTCCCAGGCACTGCGGGAGGGCATAGGGTAAAAGACAGGGATTGTTCTTGTCTTGACTTCTGGAAGTTATGAGGTTGCCCTGAGAACCCCTTTTATGACAAAGTAGCTGGAGCTTTGATACTCTGTCTTCAGCATTCTAGATTCAAACATGTAGAACTTTATCCTTTGCATAAAAAACCCCACCCATAATGTTATCTTAAGTTTCCTATTAAACATTTACTTAAATACCGAAACATCTCAAACCTCAGAAGAGGATCTTTGCTGAATTATATATATATATCTATATCTATATCTATTGTTAATATCTGGTTCTAAAAGAGTGGCTTCTTCCTAATACACCTAGATTTTCATCCCAGAAGCTCTTATAAGGGAATATAATGAAGGTAATACACAAGATAAAACAAAACTACCCTACAATATGTGGCTTTTGTTAACAGTATGCTATCCTGGCTGGTCCCTAGCATTACAAAAGTCCATTTTCAGGCTTACCATAATGACTGTAGGAAATTGTATCTATTCCTGTATTTGGGAAGTTTTTTTAAGTCTTAAAAAGTTTGGCAAAAGTGCTTTTTTCACACAAAATAGTAAGGATCTTCTACAGTAACACAGCATATCAGAATTGTAATTAATTTAATATTGACAAAATAGCACTTTGCCTATGTAAGTGTTGGGGGATTTTTTTCCCCTCACAGGTAACAAAGAGGTAACAGCATGGAGTATTTGTACATCATGTAGGCTACTGGCAATGTGATGACTAGCCTTTACTGGCTGACTTATTTGTTGGGGTTTTAAAAAAAAAAAAAAAAAAAGAAATAGGTTGGAGAGCCTTAGACAAAATGAGTTTACATCATGAATGAGGTACTCTTAAATAATGCTGGAATCAAAATGGAAGAGGGTTGGGTAGAGAGGGGATGGGAGGTAAGCAAGTAGCAAGGTGCTGTGTTGAGACCACCTGACCCAGCTTTTGGGGTATTCTGCTGGGACCTCTCTTAGAATTAACCAGAAGTTAACCTTATCTGTAGTTGAGCTTAACCTTTCCTTCCCCTGCCCCAAACTGGAGAGAAGTGGCCCAGTTCAACTTAAGCTTAGGAGATGTTTGGGAAAATTTCTATCGTTCTGGACCAAATACTGGTAATAAGAGAAAAACAGCAGTGTAAATTCTCAAGTCAATTTCTGGAATGACTAAATCTTTATCACTTAAATTTGAGCAAACATAATCCATAACATCAACATGAGTGAAAATCTTCTTTATTCTTCCATCAGGTCACTGTACACCTAATGATAAACCTAATGGTAAAAACATGCTAGAGCCAAAATCCAAAATTCTTTCAAGAAAGGTAAGTGTTTCTCAAGTCCTGTTCTAGGAGAAGAGCTTGGGTATACTTAAGATCAATAATTCCCTGTCCTGAGATCTCTGAAAATCTGGTCTTTTATGATTGAAATATTTAGTGTCTGATAAGTCTTGGGCATTGTTATAATCTGTACAGATTTATCTCATTTCTAGTACTAAAACCAGACAATATATGAACTCTGATCACTTCAGAATGTAAAGGATATAAGATTAAGTTAAAAATAACATCTATTCTGTTATTAAAAATATGGCTTATCTCATTTAAATATTTCAACAAGGAACCTAGTATTCCTTGATCTTGATCTTGTTCTAATATTCAAGCTATTAGTGTGTTTTGCCTTGCTGATCCAGTAACAAAAATAAGAGTAGTGTGGAATATAGCCCTGGGTGTTATTGAAAAAACTGTTCTGAAACAGGACAATACACTTCTGATGATGTTATTACAATTGAGAAACAAATAATCTGAAGTTTCCTAGTATTTCCTAGCATAAAATAGATTATCTTAAATGGAGGAACAGATTAATTTTCTTACCTATTATTTAAATTTTTCTGTGGTAATCAGCTATTTAAAAACATCAAATCAAAATTACTAGTCTAAATAATTGATCATGTCAGCCTCTGGACCTAAAAAGTTTTTATATAGTCCATTGAATTAAAATATTTCTTGGATTTTTCTGTAGGCACTTAACTTTCGGAAAGGTATTAACTAATTTAATGAATTTAATTTCAAAGATACATACTTTTTTCATAATTGTGTGATCTACTAGAAGCACTGCTTCCTGAGAATACTGGTTTTACGTTGTGAAGAAAACGCCACTGGGGGCGGAGAGGAGAGGAAAACAAAACTATTTAAAACAAACAAAACCTACAAGCCTAATACAAAACTATTGTTATGTAAGGATGATGTGTAGAAATGAGACAGATGTTCTCACAATATTGTCAGTGGACCTTGCATAAGCTCAGTCTTGTGAATTCATGGTTTTTTGAATTAAACAATGGAAAGGTGGGCGTAAAGGATTGGGTGAGAACAGCTACAAACACTAACAATTTTTAGCATATGACTAAAGAATTTCAAATTTGATGAGAAAACATATTGGTCTGTTTAGATTGTTGTATTTGCACTCATGTTCTGCCAAAGTAAGGATATTTTGTTGTAGATATTCCTAAAAAGCCCAGTCAAAACAACATTGTGCTAATATAAGAACTAAGCAGATAATAGATGATTAATAGCTGTAGAGTATTTTTGCCTCTTTCATGTTTTCTTTTTCCTAATAACTTCAGGATACAGGATTTAAGAATACAGATTCCTGGGTAAGCTTATGTAAAACCATGATGCTCCCAGCTCCGATAAAAACATCTGCTGAGAGCTTCAATCAGTTCAGGAAAGCAGCATTAAAGAAGAGAAGTGGGCAAGCACAGGAGTTGAAAAGGCTTGCACCAGAGGCCAAGAGGGAACTGCAAAACCTTTCTCAAGAAAAAGAGAGGTTTGTAACCACATATGTTTAAATAGTATTCTATTTTTTTGGCTTCTGTGATACTGGGTGTCTTAGTTATTCAGGAACAAGTGGTTTGGATTAGGTAAATGCCATGTGTCAATTGAAGGGGGTGAGCTGTACTACTCTAAGTACAACTGCATATCCAAAATGCACAAAAGTGCTTTTTCCCTTGCAAATAAGTATAATTTCAGCAGTCAAACTTCTTGGGTACTTTATTTTTTCTTTTGTCCCTGGGAACACTCAATCCTCGGGTCATGACCAGAATTCACACCATCTTCAGGGTCTTACTTTCCTATATCTGCAGCCAGGAAAATCCCCATCTTGCTGCTATCATAAGGGGAAGCAGGATAACATGATCTTCAAGAACTTGGTTTGAACGTAAGCTAAAGAAGTTCCAGGGTACGCTACTTCAGACAGCAGTATTCTTTGCATTGCTGTAGAGAAACATATTCAATAAGCTACTGCTGTAGTATTCTTCCCTAGTTGTTTGCCACCGCTGTTTTAGTGAGTGCCCATATATGTATCCCAGTCTGACGTCTCTTATTATGCTGAGTGGGATAAGTAACTGCCTACTAATTACTGCATTGCAGTAGTATTTTAAATTGCTGTTTGCCACTTTTTTTAAACTCTGTTTTCTGTAATATTTCCCTCTTCTGTAGTCTTGATTATTTTTTTTTCTTGTCTGTTTAACCCTGTGAAAGATTGTCTGAGCTGATTCATAAATCCTCCTGCCCCTACCCATCAATGGCTGTATTAGAACAGGTCACCTGTTTGCAGTGTACTGTTTTAATAAACAGAGCATTTGAGAGACTTAAGAGTACACTCCTTGTTCAAAAAGTATAGTGAACAGTCCAGCCACCTTCAGCTACTACAGGTTTCTGCAAAGAGGAACCCAGTCATGTAGCTCTATGGAATAAGACTTTACAGATGCTTGCCTGAAGTTAGTGAAATCTATCTCAAATAACTAGTTGAAGAGGAAAAAGGTAGAAGCAAAACATCATGGGCCAAGAAAGTAACAGAAAATTAAGTGTGTATGTCTTTCAAAGAAAGTGCATATAAGTTTTGTATAACATATATATAAATCCTGTGTGCATATAGATTGCAAAAGAACACAGGAAACCTTAACCTACTACAGCCCAATTGCATGGACATAATTTTTGTGAGGGGAAATTAGTATGAATCAACTAAATTATTTGCAGAATTCTGTTTAGGTGCAAAAGCTTGTTATGAAGAAAAGGAAGAAACAACTTTTATTCTATACTGATCTCTTCTCCTGTCTGTAAAGGGGACATGAAGGCACAGTATTGAATGCCATGGCAAAGACAGACTGTGAGCCCCAAAAAGAAGAGCATAAGAGCAAACAACTGCCTGATGTTCAACAACATACTCTCGTTCAAGACCGTAACTTGGCTAGAAAAATGGAACAAGAACGCAGGAGGAGAGAAGTAGTAAGTTGTTGACTCTTGCCAGATGATTTTATTTCAGCTTTAGGGAATAAAAAATGTTAGCACAGGTCCTTACAGATTACAAGCAACAGAAGTACGCTACCTGAAGAGTCAGTCCAGAAAATGAAATAGGAAACTCAAAGCAGGTATTCAAGTGACGCAATATGCAAAACTATCTGCTCAGTCCTATTGCTCCCATAAGCTTTAAATAAATGCATGGAAAAATAAAATTTTAAAGAGGAGCTCTTGCCCCCTGAATAATTTCAAACCTCAAGTCTTGCAAGCAGCCTATACTCTCCAACATATTCTGTGTCAACAAAGTGCTAGTCATACTGTTCTGGTCTGAAATATCAAAACTGAATCTTTTAAACTAACGGTTTTATTGGTGTAGGTAATGAATGTTTTTTAATTGCTACTTTTTTTTAATTATTTTTTTTTTTAATAAATTCATAACATTGTACAGTGGAATGTAAGAACTGCAGTGTGAGGCCATGCTAGATTCAGATAAGGTCTACTGATGCTTTTGTCCTGTTCCGCTCTTTTCAGAGGGGGTTTCGACAACATGCATGTTCAAACTTGTAATAGTGGAGGAAGCATACGCTTTTGGGGAAGAAGCTTTGCAGTTTTTTTCTTAAATATTTATTAAATATTTGACCTCCATAATATTTATTAATGACTGTTCTGAAAATACACTAATTTGCTTTCTTGCAGATGGCTTGTTTAATTGATATGAATCTGCAGAGAGAGATTATGGCATCTTTTGAAGAATATCTTGAAAGCTGATGTTAATGTCAATGCTACTACAATCTGTACAACGTTGAAAATGTACTAGTTACAAACTTAAATGTTAAGACCACTTTAAAAAGTATGTAAGCTCCTCTAAAATGCTTGATAGATAAAGCTTGTTCATTAACACTTGAAGCATCACAAGATTTTTCTGCTGCTTTATAATATGTGTAATCCAGTATGCTACACAGTGGAACGTAGTTGTTCTTTAGATTAGTTTCATATGTTATGTATATAAATAAGAAAATATCATATTCTAGACTTTTTTCTCATTTTTTTTAAAAAACTTTTTTTTCAGAAACACTTGAGGATCTGTTATACTGAGTAGAGCCAAATTCTTGCTGGACTGTATTAAGTCACAGCATACTAAATATGCACCTATAGAAACTACTTTAAGGTCTCATCAATTATGTGATTGCTATTAAGACCATTACTTTACTATGACACACTTGCACAGCATCTGGGCTGTGACAAAAGACCTCAATAACAGTGATAATTTCTAAAGGGTGTGCAACAGTATTTGTAATAGTGAAAAAACATTTCCTGGAACTGTAATTTCAGCAGCAAATCCTGTATACTTGCATGTTGTAAGGCCCAGACATGTTGATCTTCTGTTTATTTTATGTTAACATAACGTTTCAGTAAGGATGTAAGCATGTTTGCCAGATAGTTCTGGTTCCTCACAGAAAGAAATTACCTAAAACATCCCACTTCTGGCTCCAGTTTGAAAGGCTTTCTGATTAATGCAAGATTTTTTTAATGTTGGAATACTTATCTGAAGTAGCAACTAGAGTGTAAAAACCCTGTGTTATTGTTGATTACATATAGCTATCTCAAAATAAGTACAGGACTAATCAAAAATTATTTTATAGAATTAATACCAACACACAATGTGTATTACATAAATGTTGGGTGGAAGGGGCCCCCTTGAGATCGCCTAGTTCAGTGGTCTCCAAAACTTTTTCATCACATAACCCATCATTTAAAAAATTTAAGCATGCACCACAAGACATATATAGTTATTTATTTATAAACTGTATGTATGTTCTACTGTACTATTACTTACATTATTTTAAAATGCACAAAAATATAAATTAAAAATATTTTAAATAATGTCTATTTAATTTTGCTTAGTTATTTCTACTTATTTTACTTGATAATTTCTAAAAAAATATTTTGTATTAAATACTTTCTTCCCACACTCTACTTCAGAGACCACTGATCTAGCTGAACCTCTCCCTCAAAACTTTCTCTCCTTATGGAGGCCTCTGGTCTGTCAAGTTCCTAGAACATAAGCCTTGCCTGGATGCATGCTCAACTGTATGCTGTCTGGGAGATTTGCGTACTTGGTAGGAAGGGGATTTGGGGTGAAAGATTGGTTATAATATAAAATGGTGCCATTAGGATGTCTTCACATCTGCATTAAAAGTGACTTAGGCCTGCCCTCATTTGTAGCTTATTTGCCCTGCAATAAAATATTACAGTTGACATTCAGGACTCCATACCTTGCTGTCATCTGGACATATTTCTGGGTTAATGCAAGCTCAAGATCGCTTGCTTTGGAAATAGAAGGCAACGGAGGGACGGGCAAGAATTTATTCTCTGCATGTCATCCATTCTATATAACTATATGGGCATTGGTAATGGTATGAGCTTGTACTTTTGCCCCTTCGAAAACAACTTCCATCTTCCATGACTCTATATTGTCATGATGACTTAACATCACAATGTCAGTGCTGCTAACACTAATCTGACGAAGTCTTTCTTTGCAAACTGCAAGTCCCTCAAAGAGGATAATCAGTTCCTACCTCCAGGCAGAAGGCTGAGTACAGAGCAAAGGGAGATGGCCTTCAAACATAAGTGTGTATCAAGCCTGTAATGATTCTGTTTGCCCAAAGCTGTCATCACACTCAAGGAAGCAGGAATACCACTTGTGTAGATACCCCCTGCAAACAAGCAGCTGCTTAAACAGACTAAGTATTGCTAGTTACCTAACAGTTAAAATGTGTACCAAGTTCTGTTATGCTAATTTACCTGAATATTTACCAGAAAATAGCTGCACTAATATGTCATTTTTATACTTGTGTCTACACTAGTAGATTGTATCTACATGTAAATGAAGAGTAAGACAGTTAAAAGCTTTAAAAAGTTCCTTTGTCACTAATAAGTAGAATATGTTATACTTTTTACTATCAACTATGAGTTGGTCAGGCTGGAGTCAGTGATGTGCAAAGTTGTCCTCTTTTTGTCTCTCAGAGAAACAGGATTAGTTGAACTGACAAAAGATAGCAGGCAGATGGCACATTATGGAGGGCAAAGCACACTGTTAAAGCATGTAAGACAATCTGCCCTGGGGTTGGTTTGGCTTGGCACCCATTAGAACAATAATTTAGAGCAGAAGATGAGAAAATCAAAATATAAGGAAGACAGAAAAATAATTATTGGTGTTCTCAATTTTTCTTATTCATAAGAGATACATAGAAGATTCTAAGCTTTCTTCTGCAAAATGTTGGAAAATGCGTGAAAGGTATTTGCCTTGTACAAACAGGTTTGCCACACACATGTAGACAGCGTGGTCCTAGAGTACAAAGAAAAAATTCCTCAATAAAAGAGGAATTCTACTGCTTCTTTGGCAAACAGGACAGCTGAGGTAGCACAGCTGGAGTGCCCAGAAATGCTGAGCGAGAATGTGCAGCCGGGTATGCAACGATTTCACTGTGTAAAAGCCACTCAGAACTGCTAGGTCCCCAGCTCTGATAACAGCTCCATACCTGATATCTGAAGATGACATAGCAAACTCTATGGGCAAAAGGTTTGTATAATTTTAGAAGTCTGACATAAAACTACCTAGGTATTTAGTGATGTATAAACTAAAAATAGACTTAATTCTATTCTTGTGAAAAAATTAGCTCTGCGGTTTGTACAAGAAATATGGCATAGCTTGGCCAAATATATGCTTATAATAGGCACATCAAGGTTCCATCTTTAATCCTTCTAGTATTCTAGACAACTACTATAATTTTGTGAATGCTGTGTTGAACCTGTCACTGGGCCTTCATCACCCTTTCTTTGGAGGTAAGTGGAAGCTTGTGGTCAACTCCAGGATTTCCAACCTTGGTTTTCCAGATTTTCTTAGTGAATGTTTTCCACTAAATCATTCTGATACTGTTTTATTGAGGAATTTGATGACTACTGTGATATAAACAACACTTGGTTGCTTTGCTCCTGCCAAGCTTTCTAATTTATCTAACTGGGTCACTGGTTTACTGATGTGCACTTCAGGGAAAATCCTGCTGCAGCTAGTCTGATATTGAGAAGCTATGAAGACTTCTTCTTTACAAAAAAAGGTTATTGGCACAAAGTCTGACGCATAAAAGATTAGCTATATGCTAATCCTAGGGTTGGCGGTATGAGTAATCTGAGCATGAACGGAAGGCTCAGGCTTGGTAGGCATGATTCATATAATCCTGCTGGAGTCTGCAGAGGTTAGTGTCTTAACTGAATCATCAGCTTCTGATGTTGTTCCTTCTCTTCTTGCCCAAGAGAAGGAAGGAGCCTCAAACAGCCCAGCACCTTTTTCCCCAGCAGCCTAATAAAGCTCCTGACCTTAACTATGTAGGACTCACATTCAGACAATGAGCAGGGATCACGAACAGCATGACTCAGTGTTGTCAGCTGATGTGGGTTGATGATGTTTCATTCCTATGATTGATAAGAGGAAGATAGGCAGCTTTTTACACCTACTTGAAAATTTTATCTTTAGTAGTAAAAAATAAATTCAAATAATGGGTTTGTATCTTATTAAAACTTTTAAATGCATAAAAATGCAGTAATAGGTAATTCTAACATTCCTTTCTGCTACTTAAGGTTTTTATTTGAATTTTTTTTTAATTTGAACTTGTTGAAACCAGCATTAATTCTGTCACTGACTTCAGTGGGACTAGGATTCAACATCAGTGTCTATATTTGTAAGGCTGAATTTAGAACAAGTAGGAGAAAGCATTTGGTATGTTGCAGACAAAAATTGTCTACAAGCTGTGTTCCATGCACAGTGAAAAATTAAATATATTCTGTCTGCATACATGCTTATCCAATTTGGGTTTTTTTAAATGGCTTATTAAATTCTATATCTTAGACTTAACAGATGCATAATGTCTTTGTACCAGCTTCTACTTACACTGCTGGACAGAGCAAAATAAAATTTCTTGGAAGTTCTAATCCTCTAAACTCACCTGGACCAAGAACAAATTTTCATCTCTGTCAAATTCAAGTAAATTTGTCAACTCCACCGCTTTGACAAAGGCAGGCAGTTGCACACCAGCCTACGTTATTAGCTGTGATTGTCATGTGGCCTCTACAGGTCTTGAACTTGCCTGTACCCTCTAGTCTGAGAAGCAAGGGCTTTAGATCAAGGGGCGAATGTGAGCAGACTGTGCCATGAGTTGAATCAGGATTTGACATGCAAGCTCAATTCTGCTTTTCTTGTAGTCAACAACTACTATGTCCACATTTTGTTACCTCCCAGAACTAATAAACTGTAATTTTGCATAACCTGCATTTTCATAATCAGACAAATCAATTGCTTAATAATAGTTATGCTTCTTTTTTACAATTTTGGATTACATGAACCATTCTGATTCTAAATTACCCTTTACCCTGCACATCAGTAGGTTAACACCAGATAAGTGCTGACTGGAGCCAGCATCTGTGGCCTCATACGTGACTGTGACTCCTTGGCTTGTGCAGGTAGCAATTTGCAGCTAACGGAGAGGCATAAGATTGTTCAGCTTGGAAGGTGAGCCTTGGGTGGCCGAGATCTCAGCGCTAAACTAACTCTGTTGGAACAGTTAGTACTAACGATCCAATTTCCTTTATTAGCAAATTTCTCTATTAGAGTAAGTTGAAAAAAATACCCATTTTGGTGCTGGAGCTCAAAATCTGTATCTTTTATACTCATTAGTCAGCCTGCAGTAACTGCGCTTGCAATGCCTTTACAGAATCGCCTCTGGAGGGGCAACAGTGAAGCAGCCCCGCAGAATGCACAGCCCTGACAGACACGGGGTTCCAACCGCCCGGGCGCATCGCTGCGCGTCCCTCTGGCGCTGCAGAGGGTCGGGGCGCTGGAGGACGTGACCCCAGGAGCCAGCGCAGCCGCCGCCGGGGCC